GTAATATCATATGAATTCTAATAAAGGAACAGAGGCACGGCCTCGCTTTTAAAAAAAAAAAAAAAAAAAAAAAAAAATAAAGAATTTTTTGAAAATTGTCAAAATGCTTTTTAATATGAGGCATCCCATATTGTTTTTAGGGTTATTATTATACATGATATTAATTAAACTTTTTTATTTAAGCCTGAACCAGATGCTACTCAGTTTGTTAAAGACAATGAAGACTTAATGCAGGTTTCAATAAACTATATATTAAAAAATGTAGACATTAACAAGATAGAAAAAACCTGGGCTATTCGTACAATCACAGCTTCAAGATTCTGCCATTTTATTGTTCTCTTTTCTGATAAAACCTATATATGTTTCTGCTTGGGGCTTGTAAATCAAAGAATAGTTTGTTGCCACTTTTTTTAAGTGATGTTATGTAGTCACATTGCTGCATTTCATATTACTCATATTCACAGAAGATGGTATAATAACATTCATAATGATTTGTGAAAAGAGCTCTATATTGTTGTTACATAGTTTAATAAAGACCATACTCAAAGTTTGTCTGCAAATCTAGTAAGATGTAATACTATTAGATTATTATTATTTTTTTTTTTTTAATGTTAAGGTGACTACTTGGGGGTCTGGCACGTTTATTAACTTCGGTTGCAAATGTCAGGACAGCCACAGGACCACCCCTGACCTTTGTTATATTAACGAGGATACATACTAGCTATATCTATGCCTTTTGAGCATCTAATTAAGTAGTTCCCTATTACTAAGTACTATACTAGATGCCGTATCTATAACCTACTATTACTTGAGTTACCCAATTAAACCCTCTGATCAATTTGGCACCGTCAGATATTCTCCCCAAAGAGGAACTGACGCTAAGGCCCCTTAGAACTACTTTATCCTCGTGATAAACCTACTAGAGCGGTCCATGTCCTACATATGTATCATCTAGATTTTTCGGGAACTTATGTCTAGGCCGAAACCAAGTACTTGTGGTATCTCTCTGCTACCGTTACCTACTCCTTGCCCTTGCAAAGTTCACCCAAACCTCAGCACACACTTTACGGACTAGTACTGACTTTCCTCCACCAACAGTATCCCAAACTTCTAATCCAGATAGCCCGGGGAGGGACTAGTAGGCGTCCTCTTGGTATTCCGATTAAATCTTTTTTCCTCATTTACACAGGACCACCTGTATACTTACGGCCTAGTTGGTATTAGTGTCTTGCCAAATACCTGGTTCTCGTCTAGTTTACTGCCGGTGTCCGATCACTGATGATCATCCTTCACATAGTACTGTCAAAGATCTGTGCTACCTCTCTACTCGGGACTTGCCAAGCGGGATTCTGTATACCCCAGCCCTTGGATTTACACAAACGTTTCATTCAGATTTTATGTAACTTTTGCATCACACTATAGTTCTGCGTTCTTCCAGTACAAGCTGGTGTGACCAAGGCTACAGATCTAATGATCCATCAGATTACACACAGTCTGTTGTAACACATTCCTTAAATTCGAATTTCGTCGCCGGTGGGATTCGAACTCTTGTCCTGCCACTTGAGAGTACGACAACTTCACCACTTTACTAAGTCGCCACACCCTTACTATTAGATTATTTACACCCCTAGTCGATCTATGAAATGAAAGAAAAAAGTTATTAATGAACAAAAATTGTATAGAGAATTGTGGAGAGTTGCGCAGAATATAACACAAAAGGCAATTCAATTTCGCAAACAAGATGTTCTTAAGAAATTACAAGATTTATTAACTGAAATACAAAAGGATAAGTTAGTAAGCATCCTAGTCAATAATAATGATAAGGAGACATATAGTAATAGTAATAATAACTTACACAACAGTGAAGAGGAAGATGATAAAGAAAATAACCCACTAGTTAATATATCTCTTCAGAATCCCAAAAGACGTAAGGCGAAAGGGCACCTAAAAAGTTCTAAACAAATTAAGCGATCAGAAGAATTGAAGCCAGCTAAACGTCAAAATCAGTGTGCAAATTGTAGTGAGTATAGGCATTATAGGCCTAAATGTACAAAAAAGTAATAAAATAAGAATGTATTAACAAATCATTTATGTAATAGTTTTTATTTCAATAAAATACTATATATATAGTTTCATTTTATTTGCATAGAACAAATTATGATACTGTAATAAGTTTGGAAATATGATCTTGTAATAGATAACTATTAGAAAGTTATAATATTGATATTGCATATATTAATTTAATGACTATTCATTCAAATGTTCAATTCTTGGTATAGGTAGTTTATCCACTATCCACTAGAAGTTATACATGTAGTTTGGGTAAGAATAAAAAATCTTTTCAAAATGTTGAATCGCATTTTATAATAATTTAAACAATGGTTTATCATTATTAATCATCATTTTTAAGATAGGCTATTTAAGGTCATAGAATTAATTATATCTATTTTTATCAGTAAGTTTAAAGATCTTTTATAAGATACGTAGACTATTTAGAGTCGCATTATTTACTATGCCTCCTTTTAATTTCATCTTATTGCATTATTCTGGTTTATAAGCCTAAAGATTTTTATTAATTGACATCTATTCAAGGTCATATCATTCCCAATATTTTCTTCTTATCTTATTCTTATTAATTTTGACAATACATTGAAGTTCTTTTATTAATAGATATATTTAAGGATTTTAATATGTTTCCTATGTCTTATTTCTTAATTAATATATTAAAATAGATCATTTAAGATTACCAAATTTACTATATTTTTATCTTATTAATTTAGTCTACAAGTATTTTTTATTTTTTATTTTTTTTTAATGTTAAGGTGATCACTTGGGGGTCTGGCACGTTTATTAACTTCGGTTGCGAATGCCAGGGCAGCCACAGGACCACCCCTGACTTTATTACATTAACGAGGGTATATTCTAGTCATATCTGCGCCTTTTGAGCACCTAATTAAGTAGTTCCCTATTACTAAGTACTACACTAGATGCCATACCTATAACCTACTATTACTTGAGTTACCCAATTAAACTTTCTGATCAACTTAGCGCTGTCGGATATTCTTCCCAAAGAGGAACTGCCACTAAAGCTTCTTAAGACTAATTTATCCTTGTGATAAACCTACTAGAGCAGTCCATGTCCCACAAACATGTATCACCTAGGTTTTTTCAGTAACTTATGCCTAGGCCGAGACCAAGTACTTGCGGTATTTCTCCACTACCGTTACCTACTCCTTGCCCTTGCAAAGTTCACTCTACCCCAGCCCTTACTCATCTAATCAGAAACCCTTCCACTATTTCACCAAACTTCCAATCCAGATAGCCTGGTTTGGTTTACAAGTTACGTTACCCGCTTTCTTACTGGCTTAATCCAGATACCGGCCTGTGCCCTTTTCCTTCGGTCGATTCCGGTGGCCTGGTTGGTATAGTACTCACCAAACACCTGGTCCTTGTCCGGATCCACAGCTTATTGGTTTCTTCTCGAACTTTCTAGAGCCGTCGAAAGTAGTGCTACCTCTCTACTTGGAACTTGCCAAGCGGATTCCTATTTGAGACAACGTCTAACAGATTTACACAGGTCCTGAAGACTTATCATGGGTTTACACTGCCTTTTATCAGTTTGTATCCCTCCATGTAACTTCTCTATTACACGAATACTACAAGATCTTCCAAGTCTGTACTACCACCTCTGATTAGGGCTTGCGAGATAAGCCGTCCGTTAGGCAATCATTACCCTTTGCACCTATTTGTCTGATCGTCGTTACAGGATCTACACCCCAACACCCGAATAGTTATCAATACACAGAAGAATTCGATTTTCGTCATTAGTGGGAATTAAACTCTGGATGTGCCACTTGGGGGGTGACAACTTGACCACTTCACTAAGTTGCCACACCCCTAACAAGTATTTTTTATTAATCGATAGATTTATAATAGACTATAATATTTATACACAGTACCTCTCATTTGATTTCTTATTTGTATCTTTAGTTGTATGTAAGATGGACTATTCAAAATAATAGCATTATTATACTTAATTGTGTCTTATTCATATTAATTCAGTTTGTAAGTATATGAATATCTTTTACTAATCGATATATTTAAGATAGCAATTCAAACTCATAGCATTCACTTTATCTCTTATCACACTAATTTGGTTAATGTGTTTAAGATGACTATTCAAGATCATATCATTTATTATATTCTTTCAATTTTATCTTATTCACTGTAATTTGATCAGTAAGTATAAAGATCTTATTGTTAATCAACCTCTTCTTTAGTTCCTTTTTATTCGTGC